AGGGCAAATCTGGCCACACATCGCTGTCCTGCGTGCACTGGAGCTGCGCTTTGCAGAAGTGCGCAATACCACAAGCATCGCTGAGCTGCTGGATTTGCAAAATCACGGCATCATAAAACCAGGTGAGCAGGCTGAAGTCATTGATTTTGTTTGCAATCATCCTGAGTCTGTCTGCATCATTCTCGACGGCCTCGACGAGATAAAACTCGCCGACTGCAGCCTGTTCATGATCGACATCATCCGGGGCAAAGAATTGCCGGGAATCAACCTGATCATCACGTCACGCCATTCAGCAGAAGCAATGAAGCTGACACAAAGCAGTGAGATAGTCTTCCATCGACGTCTGGAGCTGCTGGGCTTCGAGAAGGAGGGTTTGGAGCACTACATTTACAATGTTCTGTCGGCAGACGATGCAGCCAAGTTGCTAGCAGAGCTTCGCAGCAACCCAGGGCTGGCCACAATGATGCGCACACCGTTTTTCGCCAAAGCAATCTGCAGCCTCTACCGACACAGCCATCGTCTGCCCAACACGCTGTCTGCAATCTTCAACACGCTGATCCTTCATATACTGCGGCAGCAGAAATCAAAGCCAGTGCATGATGGTGAGCAATACACCGATTGGGATGATGTTCCCCATGATGTGCAGGAAAATCTACATGATCTCTCCCAGTTCGCTTTTAACATGCTCGTCCGTCGAAAAGTCGTCTTCACGGATGCCGATTTCAACATGTTTTCCCTGTCATCGGCAGCTCGCACACTCGGCATGCTTATCGCCTGCCACAAGGAGGCATCACCACAGTCCAGGGCTCAGTGGCGTTTCAGCCACCTGGCACTTCAGGAAGCTCTAGCAGCTCGCTACATCGCTAGCCGCTCTCCCAGTGCAGCTGACGTCGCCTGGCTTGTGCAGCGACTTGGAGCATTCACAGGTAGCCTCAACATGTTTTGGCGCTTACTGGCCACTGAGGTAGACAGTGAGTCCGTCAATGTGTTGATCGAAGCCATTGTCAATCCTCAGTCCGCATCGTCTACTCAGCCACGGGATACCGACCAGCATTCCACAGGAGCAGAGAGTCACAACATGACGTGTTTTCTCTTCACAACACACGACCACATCATGGCATGGGCCGACCACGTTTCCTCCTTTCTCTCGCTGGATGAAGCAGAGCATCTTGCAGAAGAGTTGCTGGCTGGTAGGATCGACCTGGCGTCTGCTTCGGAAGTGGTCCGCCGCAAGATTGACCCAGCCGCCACTAAAATCACCTGCCAGGATTTCGTTCGTTCATTGCTAGCCATTTGGACAGATCGGGTCCCGAGTGCCAGTACACAAATTCTGCACGACTGCGTGGCCAACGAGGCACAAGGATCGGCCATTCGATGCTTCACCGTCACTCCCACGTCCAAGCTACCTCCAGTTCCTCCATCCGACGAAGCAGCTGAGCCAAACGCAGCCCAGGACAGCGTCAGTGCAGCGGAACGAAAGCAACGAATCCTCTACGCCTTCCGGGTCTTCGCCGAGCACGTCCACGCCAAGCAAAGCAGCATCGAAGACATCCCCAGCATGCAAGCCATCATCAAGCAGTACGGAGTAGATTTCGCGGACGTTCCTCTAACGCCATCCGATTGCCAGGCCATCAACGCAGTCGTGATTCACCACCACCAGTTCATCATCCGCATCAGCCTGTACAACTGTGGTATAGGTGATACTGGGTACGGATGCATGGCTGATGGCATGGCTCTACTACGCAATCTTACTTGCATCAACCTGCCACTGAACAACCTAACAGATCGTCACACGACCCATATCGCAGCGTGTATCGCATCCAACACATCAACACTGCGATACCTATACACATCCCGCAACCTCTTCAGCAGCAATGCTATGGCCACCGTCCACAGCAACACACACCGCTGTACGGGACTGCTGGGAGTGCAATTCGGAGGTCAAAAGTGCACCGATCCAGCAGTCAACCTTGACGTCATCACCACCGTCTGCAGCAGCTGCCCAGATCTCCAGTACGTCGGTCTCCGTAACTACGTACTGGATATGGAAAGTCTAACCCAGCTAGCACCATTGTTAGGAACACTGAGGCTGGAAGTGCTGGATCTGGACAAGGTTGGGATGAAGCAGAACTCCGCTACGATCGTCAGTAGAATCATTCAACAGCAACACGAGAGTTTGGAGTTCCTCTCACTCCGTCGCAATGAGCTAACTGGAGATTTCCTGGAAACCATTCGTGGTGAGCTGAGTCAGTGCCGACGCCTAGAGAAGCTGTACCTGGACGACGACTGCCTCTCGTCGGGAGCTCTGCCAGCGCTTGCATCCCTGCTGCCCAGTCTGCCCAATCTCTCCGTGCTCAGAGTGGTGAGGAATGATTTCCGAAATGCTGACGACGAAACAACGCTGTTCGCTGCCGCTGTTGAGAGCTGCTCGTCTCTGAAGGAGCTGGTGATGCCTGAAAGAGCTCTAGTGTCTCCACGGATGCGTGAATCTCTAAGTGCCATGGCCAGAGATGATCTGAATGTGCAGTATGTCGGAGGTCGCTGGTACGACGAAGTGGAGAATGCCGGAGAAGAAGACGAGTACGGCGATGAAGGAGATAGTGAGCGTGAGGAATGAGGAGATGAGAGGATTGACATGGACGGATTTCTGTCCTTATGCAGAAAGCTTCGTTTTCGTCTATCACTTCCTCCTCTGGTATAGAGTCCTTCTGTGTATGTGATTATAAGTGCATTAGTTTTGCGTATGTGTTTGTGCATGAGTGGTAGTATTGCGGCGTCTGCGTGCTTGTAAGTGTGTGTATGTTTTTTATACTTGAGCGTGTATGTGTATGTGTGTGTGTGTGCCTGTGTGTGTGTGTGCATGTGTGTCTGTACGTTTGTGTTGCCGATGGACATTTCTTCCTTCATTTTCAGTCAGTTTGAGGGATCACTGTGTTGACCTTTGACCTTTAGACTTTGGACCCTGTAACTAGATGTTTTCGCTCCTTGATTTTTTTCGATAATTCTGGACTGTTGCTGAGAGAATTTCCATCATAAAACTTTTCGTTTTTGCTGATGTGGTTTTAGTTGATATGTGTGATCATGTCCTTGCATGTACCGTAAAGTACCGCCAGAGCGCCCCCTCTCTAATTCCCGCCCCCTGTCGATTTTCTCCTTGTGAAGCGACTTCGGCGTATACAACGAAATACGATGTTGAACCGACGCATGCACTGCTGTACACAATACTTGCCAATCCAGGATCAAAATGTGCACAATCCAACACATCGAGTCTGAACTTCTACATTGTTGTACATCGTACTGCACTTGACAGCCTTGATCTAATTCCCGCCCCCTGCAGAAAACCCAGCTGGGAAGCGACATGGCGTGGGGGCGGATCAACGGTACTTTACGGTACATGTACAGTTGTGGCAAGTGAAATCCGACACTCGGCATAAGGGACTGCACCATGCAGTGCGCAGCCCCTGCATACGTAGTACATGTGGTACATACAACTTTATCTGTCTGATGACAAAACTCGTACTCATCACAGTCAAGGTTCAAAAGGTGCTGGCAAAAATGAATGGGGATTGGATACCAATACTCCTTATGTGTACCATGTTTGTGAACTGTGTGTATCTACGCTGTGACCTTTCGATCTGTTTGGGATGCATACGGCTCTATAGTATAAATTAGGTGCAGTGCATTACATCATTTGTGCCCATTTGTGGCGCTGTCCCCTATGGCAAGTGTCGGATTTCACATGTCACAACTGTACAATATACATTGTATGTCTGTTTGTAGATTGTTTAGTGAATTTTATTAAAATGTTTGTTGTATAGAGTGAGTAGAAATGAGAGAATAGAAAACGCAGATGAAAATGTTTATTGAGAACTAATATTCATAGCATCATCACCTTGCCACTCACATAGTTCATACTTGTGCATAGTGCAATGTCTTTACTGATGGCAAGTTTCTCGGCAAATATTTGCATCTAGTAATAGTGTTGTATTGTTTACAGTCAACTTCGCTAATAACGACTGCGGATATAACGACAATTCGCGAAAAACGACAGAATTTCCATGCCCAGAGCAAAGTCCCATCCCACTGGAATACATTATAATGAGACTTCGGGTATAACGACACTTCGCGAATAAGGACACTTTTCTGATGCCCCGCCGAGTGTCGTTATAAGCCAAGTTGACTGTATATGTTTTTTGCAATTCACTAGTTTCCCCTCTAGTGGGATCTCATGCTGATATTAGAATTATATGACGAGTATTCTTCAAGTACGTGTGTGTATAATACACACGTACAAATTATTATAGTTATTGTGTTCGTACATGGATATGCGTGTGTCTATGTGTGGGTGTGTCTATGTTCGTGTGTGCGTATGTGCACGTGTGCGTATATGCACGTGTGCGTATATGCACATGGATGTATGCGTGTGCGTGTGTGTGTGTGTGTGTGTGTTTGTGTGCCCAATGCACGTAAGGAAATGCCTTATGTACAGACTACATATTAGCGCTAGCAAACTGAGCGTGCCAATTGTATGAATAATGTGGTACAATTTGATCCATGTACTCTGAAGTACATACAATATCACACCAGTCTTCACTGTGTCCAGCTCAAGGAAACAGGAGGTCTCTACCACCTCCTTACCCTTTGGACTATTGGCTGAGTTTATCTTTACGCTTACAAGTCCCTGCTGGGGTGACGACTACGCCATAGCTCAGTGGTTAGAGCATCGCTGGCTACAAGCGAGGGTCCCTGGTTCGAGTCCTGGTGGTGACAGTCAATTTTTTCTTCAGACCTTTCCCGTTTGCGTCTTTCCCTCAAACTAGTGCTTACAATTTACTTGACAACTACTGGCTAGATTAATCTGAATCTGGCAAGTATGGCAGTTATCTTCCCCTCATCGGCTTGGAGCGAGTGCACATTTTGGAAGATTAGACTGAAATCATCCAGCGAATGATTCCGGATACATGCAGACTGGGCAAAGCCGCAAAGAAATTTCACGATCGTTTCAAACTGTCCTATCTATCACGCACTGGTATCTTCATACTCAGCACTAAGAAATCACAACATTTAATCAATGCCAAGAGCGGCAATGGGAGCTGACGTGCTCACCGTTTCCACTGGGAAATTGCACTGTCCCGAATCCCAGAGAGGTCTTGAGTACTCCGCCGACGGCACGCTCTTGGAGTTGTGCAGGACGAGTGATGAAACGAGCGAACCAGTTAGAGTGGCCCCTCCTATCCCGCTGTACACAATGCTGTTGAAACGCGGACTGACGCGCTCCGCACCAATGCCATATATGGCGGCGTATTCTGTGGCGCCAATGTTCGCCACTTGGACCATGGCGGAACCGAGCATCATATTCACCATGCCAACCATGGCGCACGTCGTCAGAAAATACCCAGGGACGATCTTGAAATGCGAAGTTGTGAGTATGACGAACGGGACCAGCGAGAGTTGCAGAACACGATAGATGCCCAGGCGGTGTGCAAGCAATGGTCCCAGCAATGTTACACTAAACAACGCTGGTACATACAGGAGCGCATAGCAGATCTCTCCCAAACCACCCACAGCATTGATCGAGCTCTCCAAGTACTGGAGACCGTACAGCGGTGTGCAGATCAGCAACGCTGACAGCATCGTCACCAGTGTGTTCTGTGCGTGGATTCTCGCATTCTTGCGCTCCTCGTCGGTGAGGCGTTTTCCCTCAACCAATCCTCTGCTCCCTCGCACAGCTTCTGAAGGTGACGAAGAAATTGTGCCATGCTCCCTGGCGATGTTTTCACCATGGGCATGGACAATGTCAGCTCGCCGGTGGATTCTTTCTCTTCTAGAGCGCGTCCACAATCCAAATCGCAAGGGAATGTAGTGGCCGAACGCATCACGCAGAATGGACGGCTCATTCATTTCCCTCCAGATAGCGAGTGGTCGTCCCAAAGACTCCTCATTCAATCAGGTGATTTTAGTCCTGAAATCATGTCCGAAAAGCCATATCGCTCCCGTAGAGTACAATGGGAACTCCTATCTCCTGTCCTGGGAACTTTGTTATCCTCGCATACTCGCTAACCATGCTAGCGTGAACTTTTTACCATGCAATGATTACGGTGTAGATCTACCTTGCGAATGGATGCTGCTTTCAATCATTGCAAAGAATTATTTTATTTGGAGTCACTCAGAGTTTTCTCTAGACGTAGATCTACGTGTATGTCCCAGCGCTAGCGTGCCATGATCAGGTCACCTGGTCACGTCAGTGTTATTTTACCATTGCACTGAGTCTGTACTGTGTGTAGATAGATGTACTCACGTTACAATTTTTTTTACACACACAAGTACAATGTCAATGTCATGTAAATAAAACAGTCAAGTGTGATCACCTGAGCTGTAAAAACTGACTTCAGTCCAGTAGTTAGTTCAGACATGTTGACACTCGCGGTCGCAGCTCAGATCATACTCATAACGAAACGTGTACATTGTCATTGGTGTACAATAACTACCAGGTACAGTATCCGCACCTGCCAACCTTTGCAAACCTGAAATCCGGAACAGTGAGTTAAGTTAGCAAAGTTTTAACAAATTACAGTTTATACATGTATGTACATGAAATATAGCCGAGGCATGCGCATGCTCTTCATGCATCTTTTGTCTTTGATGTCTCTCCATGCCGTTATCATGGTATTCTTCCCAGGCTCTGTAGGAGACTGTAACTGCCTACGGCACACACTGCCCGTACTAACAGCTTGGAAATTATTTTTTACAGTCCACATCTGGGAACATCTTTCGAAGCAAATATTCCATTCGGGGACACAACGGTATGTTTTGGTCATCGGGCGGGAAGTCAACGTCAGGCTCCCATCTCAATATCGGGACGGTCCAGACCAAATCAAGATGAGATGATTGGCATGTATTCTCATCACAAACAGAATATCTCTTCGGTATTAAAGCACATCTGTAGATTCAAGAAATCAACACAGAACTGAGGTTCGTTCACTGGAAAAAAATTAAAGTATTAGTTGATCAAGGTTGGAATTTTTCTCTCAGTCTCAATTGGGGTTGTTGTCTATCAACGATGGGTTAGTCAAGACAGCAATGCGGTTATGGTAGCAGCAGCGGATGTGTTTTCGCCGGTAGTGGTGGTGCTGAAGGTTTCTGAGGACTATAAAGAAAAAAATGTTACAATTGACTTAAAATTTCAAAACAGAGCTAACAGCATTGTGTATGGTTGATATAATTAGTTCCTGGTTTAAGTCTGGCTTTGGAAAGATTTTTTTCATTGCTATCAGGTTCAGCCTCATTTTCTCGGTTCCACGCTGACGAGTCCACGAAGGACGAAACAGTTCTGTCCGCAGATCGAGTAAAAAGTAAACTAGATATGTGTGCTATTAGGCTCAATATCCAAGTTCAAATTCGACTAAACCGGCAGAAAAATGAGTGAAAGAACACTGGTTGAGTTCATTGATCAGATGAAACGCACCAATATTCCTGTAGCTAAACGGTGAATGCCCGCTCAATTGAAAATCTACATGGTATCTTGTTCAGGCACGGCGAGCAGCTCAAAGCTTTCTTCCCCGCCCCGAATCTCCTTGTTCTTCTGCCGCCGTCGCTGCATCAGCCTCCACTCCACGATGCAGAACATCACGGCACCAAGCACCGACATTAAGATGTGGTATACAAACTTGACACGCAGCTCACCAGTACAGCGGCCTATCCTCTGGCTGTAGAACGCTGCCACACCGCTAGCCATGCCTTGCCACATCTTGTAGTTAGCCGAGGCAGCCTCTTGGTCGTGTGTGAACACAGCACCAAGGATAACTGCAGAATAGGAATGATAGGGACAAGAGACAAAAACACTTTCTCAAGTTACTGTTAGTATCCATGGGTGTATTGGGTGCATGGCCTGTCCCCCCCCCCCCCCCCCACTGCAAACAGGTGTACTACTTGGGTGTATCCCCCCCCCCCTCCCCCTCCAAATGCGGTTGAATTGCCGCTGGTGTTGCAATAATTGTACTCAGATGCCGACACAGCCATAGACATCACTCCTAGGCGAGAGCTCTCCCAACACAACACAATAGCTATCACGGCTGGCTTCAAAGTCCGACCAGCTATTGCATGCCCGTAGTTGTATGAACACCTCTGCCCTCAGAGCTCAAGGTGTCACTTGCAACTTTTCAAGCAGTGCTACAGTACTGCCGGGTACCGAAGAACGGAGCACCGAAGAACGGACCAACGAAGAACGGAGCACCGAAGAACGGACCAACGAAGAACGGAGCACCGAAGAACGGACCAACGAAGAACGGAGCACCAAAGAACGGACCAACGAAGAACGGAGCACCGAAGAACGGAGCACCGAAGAACGGAGCACCGAAGAACGGAGCACCGAAGAACGGACCACCGAAGAACGGAGCACCGAAGAACGGACAGAACGGACCACCGAAGAACGGACCACCGAAGAACGGAGCACCGAAGAACGGAGCACCGAAGAACGGAGCACCGAAGAACGGAGCACCGAAGAACGGAGCACCGAAGAACGGAGCACCGAAGAACGGACCACCGAAGAACGGACCACCGAGGAACGGACGAACGGACCACCGAAGAACGGAGCACCGAAGAACGCACCACCGAAGAAAGGACCACCGAAGAACGGACGAACGGACCACCGAAGAACGGACGAACGGACCACCGAAGAACGGACCACCGAAGAACGGACCACCGAAGAACGGACCACCGAAGAACGAGCAGGCTAGAATTTCATCAAGTTACTTAGTACATCATACACGGAGAGTTAACTTTGCAAAGACTACAGTACATGAAAATAAAAACGGCCTAGGCTAGGAGGCGACCCCCCCCCCCCCCCCAATTCTTGGGTACCCAGCATGTGGGTAGAACAGACCTTTGTCAAAGTGCTACCGCAAAAAATTCTACCAGTCACTGAACTCTCGAGCTCAGTTTTCTTTGGCATTGGAGTCAGGTCAAGTTGACTTCTCCATATCCACAGCAACACCGCAGGCCATCACATTCAAGGTGTTGGATGCAGCTCATGATGTGCGTGTGTGTGTGTGTGTGTGTGTGTGTGTGTGTGTGTGTGTGTGCCGGGGAATCAGCTGTCTTTACAGTCAGTACACACGAATACATGAGACAAGAGGCCGTTTAGCTGTAACTTTTAAGGCTTCATGCCCTGAGCGATTTGATGATCCACCAGGGCGTGAAATGTTACGTTAGAACAAATCGGTCTCTCGTGTCTCCTGTGTTTGTAGATACTACTCTGCACCCTGGTGCATGGAGCAGTTTTGTTAGAGGCCCAGACTGCAACTAACTGTGTGTGTTAGTCAGTCTGACTGGCAGTCAACAAACGCAGGCACGCACACCTTATACATCACTGGCACGGCACGCTCCTTCTAAAACTGCAAGCAGTGTTCTGCCTCATCACACAAATCGGCATGGTATTTTTAAGTATTTTCTCATCACAACTCTTTGTTCACACAACTAACGGCTAATCGACACCGCATTGCTTACCTGTTATAGGCACATTCCACATGGCATCACCGATCCCCCACATCGCCACCAGTCCAAACAGCAGGGGCATGTTCTCCGTTGGTTGCCATAGCAGCAGTGTCAGCATAACGCTCAGCTGCACCAGCATGGCACCGAGGATGACGAGGACCTTGTTGGCGTGTTTCATCATCGTCGGAATGATCAGCAAACCCAGGAAGTTGCCCGTGCTGTAGCAGACCAGCGAATAGCCGACGTACCCCACTCCGAGGCATGGCGTTATGAAGAACTATACGGTGAGCACACAGCAAACACACACACACACACGCACACACACGCACACACACACACACACCACACACACACACACACCTCAGACATGCCCATCGCGGAAGCGATGATAGCGAACAGCTATGTTAGACATAGCAACTTGTGCCGGGATTACACCATTCAACAGCACACGCACGCACGCACGCACGCACGCACGCACGCACGCACACACACACACACACACACACTGTACTGTACTTGTTGCTCACTGCCAAAACTGGTCACGTGAGTCCCCCGGGAGAGGGCCCCCCCCCCCCACACACACACACATACCCCCCCCCCCCCACACACACAAAAACACAGGACAAGAAAGTTTGGAGTTGTTCACCTTGTACTCTTGCACTGTAAATATACAAAATGTTGGCCGGAAAATTTCTGCATTTCACGATTTTCGACATTTCGGCAGCAATATATTTTCGGCACAGGGTTAATGCTAGTACATCACCAAAGCCAATGTGAAAAACGCCATTAGCGTTTCAATTTCGGCGTTTTAGGTCGGCGCTGAATATAGCCGAAACTGAATAGCTGCCGAAATTTTGTATATGAACAGAACTATACTATGTACTGTGCTACATGAATGGGATTTTCGGTCTTTGACCACATGCTGGTGAGCTGATCTACTCACCTCCCACCGCTTTAGGAGCTGCATCTGCGCCTTGATACTTGAAGGGTGGTGGCGTTCCTACGGATGCGGAAAACTTGGCCTCTACCGTATTTTTCCGGTTATAAGTCGACCTTTTATGATGAAAATAGCAGGAGAAAAGGTGGGGGTCGACTTACAACCGGGATTCGACTTATAACCGGGAATTATCGGTATCTTCCAAAAATGACCTGCACTGAATACACGAGTGCACCATGTGTATGCATTTTTGCCAAGTTTATTTGCCTGTTTCAAGGATTGGGATGTTTCAGAATCCAGTGAGGAGTGTTTATGTGATTTGTTCATGTGTTAGTAGCAGGGAGCGGTTAGCAGTGCTTCGTTGGGCAAACACTTTAAAAACATAATTAAGACCTCCGGATACGGGGGGTCGACCTATAACCGGGGTCGACCTATAACCGGTAAAATACGGTATATAGATGAACCGAGTCTCATGCGAACCGTGAAATATTTTTTACATGGTACGAGCCAGGCGCTGCATGCCACACACACTTAGTGCCGTTAATCGGCCTCGTTCTCTGTGTGTGAATCGTGCTGAGCGCAGGGCTTGCGCTGTTTGCAGCCGAGGGCGTGGAGGCGAGTCCCTGCAAGACCGTGAAAAGAAAAGGAGACCGTCCACCACGTAGGACGTTCGAGGAAACAACCGAGAACAATGTACTTATGGTGGCTTTCCTCCGACATCAGTAGAGCTCTCACACAGTCACCAGTGTTCAAAACGCCTCCCCCCCCCCTTGCTAGAATAGAAGTTGAAAGTTCGCATTCTTTCCATTTAGCAGGCCCAAAGCTTAACGGCCCTTCCATCATACCTCCAACCTATATTTCTCTAGTACGGAGGAGAGAAGGAATAGTATACGACTAACGGGGCCACCAGTACTCCCATGCCTGTGTGACTGATGGTATTGGCCCAGCTGCATTCAAATGTTTATCACCTGTATGCTGTATGCCGCCGTACTGTAAAGCCACAAACTTTCGCGGTGCGCAAATTTCGCGTTTTCATAAATTGGGCTGGTTCACGATGTGAAACTTTTGCGATTCTATCTCTTCAGTCGGATCTTGTACTGTCTACAATCAATGTACGGAGAGGTTTGCGGCGACTTATATTCGCGGATGTGTGATGGTCGAGAAAATAGCGAAATTTAATCTCTAGAGAAAGTTTCTGACTTTACAGTATTTACCGAAGTGATGTTGCTTCCCAGAGCTTCCTTCTGCAGTCCTATTGCGAAGAAGACCGGTATCAGGAGTAGCAAATCGATGTTGCCGATCAAGCGCAGCGTAGCGGTGACCTGTTGCCACACTGTGGATTTCGCCAACTTGGCCTGTCAGCATAACAGCATGAATGACATCATAAAACACCATACACGATGTCATTAGAGCTACTTCGTACATGCATGATGTCATCTATTTCAGTCATCACATCAGCATACGTACGATACGACAGACACTCTTACTGGACATTACAATGTCACACTGTGTGCAAGAATCAATGCAGTCACAGCTTTTGATAGATGCCGAAAAACGTCGAAATTGTGAGCACACTGCAGATTCGCAAGTGAAGACTGCCATTATTTGAATGCGCTGCATGCATTCATTCTCTTTCTACAGCTTCTCCAAGCTGAAGATATGCACAACTTGGCGGACCTACACCAATTGGGCATCAATGTGAGTTGATTTTTGTATTCTTTATTCGAAGGCCAGGATTCAATACAAGTTATCTCAACAACAAAGTGCTGTGGACCCTGGCTAGCACCTCTAAAGTAGCGTCTTTTCCATAGCTTCGGGATTAAATTTATCTTTGGACACGAGGCTGTACCTGGATGACGGTCTTTGAAGGTTGTCGCAGGAGAAGTGACACGAGGAGACCAAGTATGCCTACACCAAGGTAGATAGACAATAGCAGCTTGCGATCTTTTCCAGAGATCACGAGCTGCACGACACAAAAGCAAGCAACCATGTATGCATACATGGCACATGTACACATACATTGTACACACGCACACACACACACACACACACACACACACACACACACACACGCACACACACACACACACACACACCAGTACACACACACACACCTGTACACACACACACACACACACACACGCACACACACACGCACACACACACACACACACACACACACACACACACACACACACACACGCACACACACACACACACACACACACACACACACACACCAGTACACACACACACCCCAGTACACACACACACACACACACACACACACACACACACACACACACACGCATATTATTATTATTATTATTATTATTATTGATCGCATTTCCGCGTCAATGTCAGCAATTTCTACATGAAAAATGCCCACAGATTTGCATATGTTGAATGGATACGGGAAGAGGACAGCCAACAATAGACAACACGACAAGGGTCAAGAAGAACAGACAAATAGCTAGCACGAGGCACAACACCAAGGGCCGAGAGGCAGAGTACTGCTACAAACGACAGCCGGTTTTAAACAGACAAACAAATGCCAGGACGAAAGATTGTTGCGCTGTGCCGGGAGAAAAACGACAGAGTTCCCAGCACCATGAGATCCCCGACATTAGCCGCACACACACATATACACACATCATTATAATTATACCTTATAGATGCTGGTATACCCATAAAGATGCAAAGGGACCAAATAAAGGACTCAGGACCCATCAGGTGTGTTTGGTCAAGACCCATGCATTATCCTTCAGCCATGGTTGGGAGAGGGGGAGGGGGGGGGGGGGGAGGGCATTCCAGCATCCGCCAAACACAGTCATCATGTTTGATGATACAGTCAGACCTCGCATAACCGCACGCATCCGTTTTCCACGAAATATCCAGATAGTCGAGGGAACCGGATAATCGAACACACATACGTACCTGTAATGTATGCATGGCATGTGCTGTAAATCGGTAACCAACGATTTTCTTCCGGATGGCGAGGGATCCGGATAAAAGAGGACCGGATAAGCGAGGTGGTCTGACTGTACCCTCAATTAATGAAGATTAAATCTTCATTAATTTTGATGTTTACACTAAGAACATGGTAAGAGCCAACTCTGCGAAGTTTTTTTGGCATGCATCCGCTTTGCAAACTGGGGCAATGCTGCATCCCACATGAAGGCAAGCCTGTTGTTCTCCACCCAAGGCATTGGCCAGTCGAGGACGTGTCACCCGTTTCACCGCTGTGTTACCTGAGACCAAGAGTCAATCACCGTTACTTGCCCAAGACCACACCGTGGCCGCTGTGGTGGAGAGGTGGAAAGGTTTTCTCCCCCCCCCCCCCCCCCCCCCTCCTGCCCACCAGCACAATCGCCCTGTCAGTGTGGCGGGGGTGAAGTTGCAGCATGAGAGCTTCACATGATGGATTGTGTCGATCAGTTCTCACCGTTTCAACAGGATAATTACACTGTCCCGAGTCCCATAGAGGCTGAGTAGTGCGGTCTGGTGAAGATGATCGCCTGGAGTTGTGCAGTACCAGTGATGAAATAAGCGAGCCCATCAGACTGCTGGATACAATGCCGCCGTACACAATGCTATTGAAACGCGGGCTGACACGCTCTGGACCAATACCATATATGGAGGCATATTCGGCCGCACCAGTGTTCGCCACTTGGACCATGGTGGAGCCAAGCATCATATTCACCATGCCAACCATGGCACACGTCGTCAGAAAATATCCAGGGATGATCTTGAAATGTGACGTCACAAATACGCTAAACGGGATCAGGGAGAGTTGGACCACGCGATAAATCCCCAGCCGACGTGTCAGCAATGGTCCCAGCAGGGTCACACTAAATAACGCCGGTATGAAGAACATTGCGTAGCAAATCTCTCCCAAACCGCCAACAGCATTGATGGAGCTCTCCAAGTACAGCAAGCCATAGAACGGTGTTTTCACGAAGAAAGTCGATAGCATTGTTACCAGTGTGTTCTGCGCGTGGATTCTCGCATCCTTGCGCTCAGTATCGGTCAGGGATTTTCCCGACCCCTGTCGACTACCACCAGATCCGGCTTCTGAAGGCGATGAAGAGATACTGCAGCCATGACGTTCTCGTGCGATATCTTCACCAGACGCGTGGGGAGTGTGAACCTGAAGTGCTACCTGCCTCGCAGTTGTGGAGCGCCTCCGCAGTCGCCAGGGAATGCAGTCTCCCAGCGCATCACGCAAGATCGACGGCTCATTCATTTCACAGCAAATGGTCGCGGTCGCTTTGTTCCGCGATGCTCTTCAGGAATAAATTTCGGAACGTTTCGTAGGCCTAATATCTACAATACTCATTTCAAGTTTTCAGGAAACCTGTGCCTCCCTGGTTGATAATGTACCACCTGCGGACGGTGCAACATAATATTTTAATACCAAAAACTATACTACTACAAGTAGTAGGGTCATTGGACGGTCTTTGCTTCTTTGACGGTCTCATCTCCTCGCTATACGCTAACGTCAGTAACGATGCTCCTTGGACCTGCTCGACCAAGCTGTTGAATCCTAGCATGCACTCCTTGTTGGTAGGGGCAGAATCTACGCCTACGGTCGTGCAGTCCGACCAGACTACATAATCATCAGTACATCTGGTACATAGACCAATGCAAAAATAGACTGCACGTGCATGCAGTCCACCCACTGAAAATATAGCACTTGTACTTGTGTGTAAGTAGTTGTAGTCTTTTCAAAGTAGCCTCGTACATAATTCTGATGATCACTTGATCAGTGATCGCCGAGACGAGATGAAACGAAGCTAACGCAGTAACGGCGAAATCTCCTTGTTTGATCGGGCCGTTGCGCCTTGACTCTTGAGCCGAGGCGAGGAGACTCAGCCATGCACAATCATTATCTTCATCATGATGCGCAATCCACTAGCACTGCGCTGCTGACTCGAGTGCTGAGATGAAACCTGGATGTATGCCAGGCTGTTTTTCGTGCATAGCAGATCTCTCCCGAACCAGCCACAGCATTGATCGAGCTCTCCATTTACATCAGCCATCACTCATCAGGTTGTACTAACTAACTTGTAGTCTGTGTAGCTGAGCAACGTCTACAGCATCGTGACGACACCAGTCCTCTGCGCGTGGATTCTCGCGTCTAGCCCTCTGCGGCGCTCACCAAGCGCGCGACAACACAGTCTTCTTAGTTATGTGAGCGTACCAGGCTCCAGTATTCTCACAAATTATTGAAATAATAATTATTTCAATAATTATATGAATTCATTACTGGAAAAAGTGAAGGAACAAGTGGGCTACAAATAGTACAACATGATTAGGTTTATGGGGAGGAAGTCTATTGTAAGAAGTATGAAACTAAATTATTAGTAGTACTTGTAGTAGAATTTATTATTTTACTAGGGAACTCCCAACATGCGTTGCCTTTTTACTGGGAACCCTAGGAATGACTTGGTGCTTGTGACAAATGCAGAAAGGGGCTTAGCTTGACGACATCCAGATGGAAGCATGTTCCATCTGTCTGCTGCCAAAAATGAAATAGCATTCAGGCCGTAAGGAGACGTAGCTCATTGAAGGAAGGCATCTAGAATGAAGTGTTGAATTGAATTAGTTCGTAGTTATTTACAGGGGACTCCATCCATTTCCAAGCCTGTCCGCGATGGCTCCCATCAGCAGGCACAAATCATTGTCCCCTAGCGTTCGGACGTACAGTCTGAGCCTGGCGCACCCACGTCCTGACTTGTCCTCTGTCCAGATGGACATTTTCCTCTTCCACACTCCCGGCGCGTCCGACGCAAGGAACATCAGGGCTCGAGGGATTCTCCGTCTGGGAGGCGCTAGGCGTCGGTTCCAGCTGAGGCGTCTGTTCCACTCTGGCCCAGAGTCTGGGGCTCTGAAATTGCCGCCTGGGATTCCACTCAATGCCATACCTCCCCGTCATTGGATGACTGGCTTAGCTCCCGCGGTTTTTTGGCAGGTGCCAACTCTTCATCATCGTCATCACTGACATCAGTGGTTTCGTTCCAGCGCTTCCTCGCACTCTGAGGCTGGATCACTTTTTGCGATTCGCTGATCAGGTCCTCCATGCCGTCTGAATTTTGACTTGTGTAAGACATACTTCTTCAACTTCAAGTAGCAACGAAAGAATTTATTTTTTTCTTGACTGTGTGAATGTTATGTGGACTTTTTCCTTCCTCCCACTATTTAAACTGTGCCGGAAAAAATTGTCATGTAGACCTATACACTTCAGCTGTTGTGTTTCTGGATAGTGCTAGTGGACCGTATACGCGTATGCGTGTTAAAACAAAATGGCGTCACGATTAATTTTATTGAAAGTGGAATAGTTGGTGGTGCATGGTACGATCGGTACGAGTGTTCAAAACCATTTGAACTTCATACTGTTCGTCTTCTTTTTGACATTCTCTCTTTCCATCGTCCTTAGTTCTTGTTTGTTGTGAGCTGTTTTGGCTTTATCCTTTACCTCTGGGGGATGCCAAGTGATGGTTTTGTTAGGCTGGTGATGGCTGTGAGCGAGAGTTTGCCGATCGGCGTCGTCCTCGATAGCGATGAAAATACTAGTTTCTGCGCACCTGGCAGATATCACAACACGTCAGAGCGTCCAGGAGCAAAGGAATCTTGGGTTTTCACTGGAATCTAGTTCCTCCAGCATCGTATAGCCCACCATCGGTGGATGACCGTCCAGAAACGTTGAACCTGGTCTTCTGCAGCATCTCGCAGTCCTGCGAGGCACATAATCATTGAATACGCCTGTCATGTATTCTACAAATAAAAATCACGAAGTAGTGGACTCTACAGTGATGGGTCTATCCTGTATGCTGCAAAAGACGAAGGAAATGTGACTGGTGTCTGTACACTGGACGGCAACATCCCAGTCTTCTCCAGCGGGATCTGTTTGACATTGATATACGGGCATGCAGTGGGTCGACATTGACCTGGTTTGGCAGCTATCTGCCTGGGTGGATGTAGCAGGTTTCCATTGGCTCGTCGTCTAGTCCGACATTTTCTTGTAACTGTGGAGTACCGGCAGGGTTTGAGAGGTTGCTCATGCTGTGAACTCATCTCTACTGCCTGTCTCGTCCTGGAAGTGCCGTCTCGCCGCCTCCTTGCTCTACAGTCGGGCTTATTTCGTTTTGTTTCGTGGTGCAGCTCAACTTGAACGTGCCCAAACAACTGTGAGCTCGCAACATGGTATGGACAAATCGCGCCACTCATGCTGGATGACTAAATGAATAGTCGAGTAAGCGAGTTTACTCCCTGGGCCATGGCAAGATCTGTGCAGCGCGGGCTATTCCAACCTCCAAGTGCATAGTCACCGATCGATCCATGTAATGGTGGTTGACCTACAAAGAGCCAAGGGCTACGAGTACTGCTAGATGATGCTGTCTTCATGCAGTCAACGTACCTCAGTATGCCCCAGAATAGGGCATGTGCGTCCACACCATGACACAACAGGGGTTCTGGCGGCACATGTCAAACAAGCAATAGCCACTAGTGCCAGCTACCTATTAGAGGCTAGCCGCTACAGTGTGTCACTGGAGATAATTGTTATGTTCACTGTTTGGACTGAGCACAATCATGCCCAATCAATCTGCCCAATGCGTGTTCTGTTCCCCATAATTATAGCGTCCCATCGCATCAACCCTACTACACGCATATGTCGTCACTCTAGCATGACTTGCGTTATTATTGTATATTTTGATTCGCACGATAAATAGAGCACAATAAATGTTAACTTGACCAAAGGATAAAGGCGACTGCAGATAGAGGAACACATCGAGGTACATGTACATCAATACAGTATCAGAGAGAAACGAAAAACAGATGAGAGGTACACAGAAAAAACTCTCGTAACCGCGAGTCTGAGGGGGGAAGTGGTTGATGAGGGATGAATGCACTCTCCACGCTCGTCTACACTTTTCGTGGAAATGCACACGATTGCACACATATATACAATAATATACAACATAGCATGAACAGAACCGAACAATTTCAAGTTCACACATGCAAGCACAGACCTGAACATTTGTGCCAAAAGCCGATACAGACAATACCCCCCCCCCCCCACACACACACGCACACACACAATCTCCCATGTATGCGCCCGTAGCGAGTAAAGCACGCAAATCTACAAATTCACTGGATGTGTACCCACAGATTTTCTCTTATAGCAACGATGGCGGGTCTGATTCTGAATGAAACACACACACACACACACACACACATACACACGCAATACAATAATGCCCATCCGCAGATAATGGCAGGTCCTGAAAGGACCGACAATGTTTCAGTCATGGGGAACAGAACTTCGAGTGGCGGATGAGGTATACACACACACACGTGCGCACGCGCAGGCACACACTAAAATATGCAGAAAGAGAATCTACATTGTACTATTCATTGGTTGGGGAGCGGAAAGGAAAATAATACATTGTAGCAGGTTATTGTTGTATGGACACTATGAGCACAACAGAAAGGTAAGCCACATGCTTTGAAGCAAAGAAAGTTATTATTCCACGGATCTCAGAAGGAAAGAAAGTTCCAGGATGCTGCACTGGCAATAGACGGCCTGCATGTACGCGACCTCTGCAGTCGGTCTAGCTGCCGGCCTTGCAGTGCTGAAAAGAATGTGCAGTACAGCATGTCACGTAGTATCACAGCCTGGACAAATAGGTGCCGGGAAGTCCTAGTTATGTGCTCACCTACACCACGATGCACCAATCTTCTGAGTTGCTTTGGCAACAACTTTGTCCACTTGAGACTCCCATGGGCTGAGCCAGTTGCTGAGGGCTGCACCAAGGTGAACGGCAACGACCGCTGATGGCAATACAACTCCATGACACACAGTGACTAGGGCATCGTCAACTTGGCGCTGAGGCTGGATCGATAATATCTGCTTTTAGGCTGGGTTGACAACGAGGCCCCTGTCTTGAAGCTAGTGAGTCAGCCTGGTCACCGCCATTGACGAACCAGCCGCCACAGCAGCGGCGGTAGGTTGTGACAAGTGTGGTGCATTATCGTCAGCAAATTCAGTACTCGGGATAAGATGAGTGACAAAGGGAACGTTGTGTGTGTGTATAATACTGAAGTGAACAAGGATGATCACAAACCCTGCGGGTACCGGGTACTCCACCGTGAGTTATAAGAAAATTCCGGACTGGACGACGAGCCGCAAATGCCAACCTGCTACATCCACCCAGGCAGATAGCTGCCAAACCAGGTCAATGTCGACCCACTACATAATGTCAATGTCAAACAGATCCTGCAGGAGAATACTGGGGTGTTTGCGTCCAGTGTACAGACACCAGTCACATTTCCTTCGTCTTTTGCAGCATACAGGATAGACCCATCACTGTAGAGTCCACTACTTTACGAGTTTTATTTGTACAATACATGACAGGCGTATTCAGTGTGCCTCGCAGGACTGCGAGATGCTGCAGAAGACCAGGTTCAACGTTTCTGGACGGTCATCCACCGACGGTGGGCTATACGATGCTGGAGGAACTAGATTCCAGTGAAAACCCAAGATTTCTTTGCTCCTGGACGCTCCGAC